AAAAAAATCAACTTATCAACTCCCCATTCTCCGGGGTACAACTAAAGCTGCAATAAACATCTGTACAGTCCCTTTCCCCCAAAGCCTATATGAAGCCCTTTCAGCTTGCAAATCCATTCTTATGCTCTCATGAAAGCCAAGGTCTTTAGGTCTGCATATTGTGCATTATTCTTGTTTCCAGTAGTCAATTTCCAGCCACCTCTCTAATCCATATCGAGGCCATATCATCTATTGTGGAGCGAGTTTTGTTCCAAACTGATAAGCGAGTGGGGTTAGTACATTAATGCTAAAGCTGAGGAACACATTGGCTGCATAGAGGTCTGTGTTGATGTATCTCTGCTGGTAAAACAAGTGTTTTATTTTTTAAAGTGAATTTTGCGAGATAGATAAACCAGTTTAGGTCGGAGCGGGACTCGGCTGTGGTTCGTGGAGTGGGTTTGTCTGCACACACCGCTCTGTTGTCTAAAACATAGAAGAGCAGCTTTTCCCACGATGTAAAGATTCTCCTGTGTTCATACATATAGACACAAACTGCAGCGATATGGCTACACCGATATGACCTGTGTTTCAAAAGACTATTTCTTTCTTTTCGAGTTGAGCCGTTGTAGACTCTGTGCAGTTTTCAGGTGGATCAATATCTCTTGGAATTGCTTTCAAATGTTAATCGAATGCCCGACACACAACCGATGTCAAAAATGTGATAACTGTATGTTCATTATCGAGGTCATAGTGGGTGGTGGTTAATATTCATAGAGGACCGATAACAATAGAAAGATGTTATATTAGATGGTGTGATTTGGCAGAAACGTGTATCAGATTACAATTGATTTCACAGGTCTAGTTAGAAAACCTTGAAGCCAACATAGTAGAAATACCGAGCTTTAATATAATATTATAGCATGATGGAAAATTAGCCATTTCAAAAAATTATATTAAATGGTGGAGAAATATAACATCTTTAAATGTTTCATGTGTCAGTAAAGAACATCAAGTCTTGCACCGTTTAAGGAATTTAAAATGATCCCTCTTGAGAAACTACAAAATATCTCGAAAACGGTGATTTTTTTAAAAACTCTGAACTTCAGTTTTTAATTCACTACCGATATCCCACAAGAGCTAAAGTAATACTACACAGAGTTGGGTTGCATATTCAATTTAGAAATGTGAAGATTCTTTAAACTGTAGATACACTTTAAACTGTTGATATTTGGTGCCTCTTTCACGACTCAGCCTGGTTAACTGGCCCTCTCTTCACTCCCGCAGGCAAACCCATTGGTATTTGCTCATTTATAAAACTATCATAGGTCAAACTCCGGCATACCTACGTTCACTACTCATCACTCGTCACATCAGCCGCTCACTTCGCAACCTCATCCACCTCCTCGTCCCCAAAGCGCACACTGTCTTTGGCCGCTGTTCATTTCAGTTTTCTGCAGCCCTCAACTGGAACCAGTTACAAAAATCAATTCAGTGTCTTTACATCTTTATCTTCTTTTAAAAATACGGTGAAGCAACTATTTACCGAGTCCTGTACCTGCTTTTAGTGTATTTTATCTTCAAAGCCTTTTATTGTTACGTTTTGTTTGTGTATTCTTTTCTTATGGATGTATTGTATTTTCTGCGCTGCCTCTTGGCCAGGTCGTTATTGTAAATGAGAATCTGTTCTCAATTAACCTACCTGGTTAGATAAAGGAAAAATAAATAAAATTAAAATATCCAGTTGATTCAATGTAAATTTTCCCAAAGCTTAGAAAGAACTGATGATGACATTTTGCTGTAGCTTTTGTACGTAAATAACAGTATTATTACTAATGAGAATAATCATTG